TCCAGAAGTTACAACCACCGCACAAAACTAGCAATTCAAAAAGCAAAATAAGAATAACAGATATAATATAGATAGAGACAATTTAAATATTTAGAGGGTCGTAGAGCATAGTACACTTCAATATGACTCCTACGTATATTTTTGCTGAAACAACAATTACACTCGTATCTATAGTCGTCAGAAGTAATAACTTGATAGAATTTCATATTTTAAGCAAATATTTCTAACAAATAAACCAAAGTAAGAATACTGTTTGTTACGAATACTAAAGTATCTGTATTAGTCTGTGGTGGGATCTTTGACGTTTGTAAAGTGAAAGGGAAATTTAGATACTACTGAGTCAACCACGAACAAAACGAGACGGCTAATGTGATCACATAACTTGAAAGCATAAAAAACATTTCGATCCTGCAATGTGATTTTTTTATTGAAGAATCTGCCAACGAACCCACCGGCTCCAATTCACCACACTGTTATTATTAGGCATTTACAGTTCTTATTTCATTATTTTTTTTTTGTTTATTTGGTAAAATATTTGCTTAAGATATTGTCAGGTAATTACTTTCCCCGACGATACGTATGTTAGTGTCGCTACAAACTAAAGTATACTTATTAGCAGAAAAGCCACTTTAAAATATAACTTTCGTTTGTCGAATGTATATACAACCAAAAACTATACTTACTTTGAACGACTGGTCTTAATCATTGAAAAGAATAGTATATGGAGCCTTCACATACTTACCACGCCGAAATATTTCCCCATTATTCCACTAATCGTCTTGAAACAGGGTTAGTGTATTTACTACTAGTACGAATTAACATGACACCTGAAGACCTTCAAGTGTCATGTTAATTCATACGAGTTTATTAGCTGGAAATGTATTTACTACTTGTAAGAATTAACATGATACTTGAAGGCTTTAATGAGTAGTTACTTCGTACGAGTTTATTAGCTTTATTAACTGGAAGTGTATTTACTACTCGTACGAATTAACATGATACTTGAAGGTCTTCAAGAATAGTTATTTTGTACGAGTTTATTAGCTTTATTAACTGGAAGTGTATTTACTACTCGTACGAATTAACATGATACTTGAAGGTCTTCAAGAATAGTTAAATCGTACGAGTTTATTAGCTTTATTAGCTGGGAGTGTATTTACTACTCCTGAAGGCCTTCAAGTGTCATGTTAATTCGTACGAGTAGTAAATACACCCCTACTTCCAAGACGGTTAGTGGAATAAAGGGGGAATATTTCCGCGTGGTAAGTAAGTATGTGAAGGCTCGATATTTCAATTGTTCAGTGGGCCGATGGAGTTTATAGCGGGCGTCGAGTGACGTTGTTATAGGGACACAAATATTACCCTTTTAAATTGAATTTCGCGCAATTTATCAGGCGTGGCCCTGATAAAATACGGTGCCCCCTCGAACAATTTAATCCGATGGGGTGTTCGGTTATTTATTATATGACGTTTTGAACGTCCAATATATGTACGGCAAGTAGATTTTAAAAAGATTTAATTGGGTTAGATACTTTCGTTTTATTGGATTTACTGGCGGACGAATTGCTTTGATTTGTTTACATAAACTTGGCTTGGACCTATTTCTATGAATTTTGTCTGTTGAGGATTTAAAATTTTAATCACCAGTACAAATCAATTTACTCATGGCCTCATTGGTCGCATGTTGTGATATCGAAAACTCTATGCTAAGATAGACGAAAGTGCAATTATACATTTATTAGTTTACTAGCTTTCCGCCAGCAGCTTTGCCCATGTAGTCTTCTATTATACATCTAAACCTTTCTTTTGGATCGCCCTATCTATAAAAAAAAAACTGCGTCAAAATCCGTTGCCTAGTTTTGAAGATATAAGCATATATAGGGACGGACAGGCGGCTGTGTATTGATACTAATATTTGAGAATCTGAATTGTTAATAAATATATTAATATACCTACTGCTGGGTTTCTCTTTGGATGGAATCGAATTATAGAACAAGCTCGTAGCTGTTAAGTGAAAAGGTAAGTAATTATAATGTCAAAAATAAAAACTTAAATAATAATTGAATTGACTTCAAACGTTAAAAATGTGATAAATAATACTTATTTTAAAAGCTATTTATTCAAAAAATGCTATTGAAGTCAGGCGGAGGTCTTCTGTAAGCGACTTCAATAGCATTTTCGTGAATAAGTAGCTTTTAAGATAAGTATTACTTACCATATTTTTAAAATTTGAAGTCAGCTCTATTTTTTTTTTTTTAATTTTTATTTCATGCTTTTTAGTGATATCGTTATTTTTTATATAATACGTAACACTATAAATATTTAATATCTATATAAATAAAAATATTCAACATAGTGAAAATCTAAAAAAAGAAGATTTAATACATAATTTATTCCAATAATTCTGTACTCATATTTTAAAAAGAGGAAAGACTGGATTGTCTTTCATTTATGGGAAGCTAATTATACGCGTTGGATATAGGTTATAATTTATGCAGGCGAAATCACGGGGAAACAGCTAGTTTAATAGAAATCGGTTCATAATTTAAGTAGAAATCAAATCATTCTCTCTTTTCACCCACGATGGGTGTTTATAACTGCAGATGCAGCCGGGAGCAACGGCCTTACGAAGAAGCACGGAGGAACCCGACATAACAATTTTTCGGGCACCCATTCTGTGACCAACTCTTGCGAAAGTTGCTTAGAATCCGTATCGCGGACTGAATGCGATAACCACTGCGTCACCGAGCTCCTCGAAATGCGAAAGCGATCGATGAAAGCATATTTAAGAGTAACTTCCGGACACAGTGTGAGGCAACTTTGTTGGAGTTGCGAAACGTAACACGATTAAAAGTCAGACAAGGCGATTACAAGACGACAATAGATATACGTCAACTGTTACTTTTCTTCTTCTGCTTTATAATTCAATAAACACAATAGAGGAGATTCCATGATCTTAAAAATACTTGATAAAACTGTCTGGCACCGGAATTGGTTTGAAAAGCAAAATGAAATATGTATCTAATATTCTATTTTCAAATTGACGGACTAAATAGAATTTCTTTTTTTACCCAGGCATCATTCCGCTAAAAAAAATATCAATATCTAATTTATCTGCTTTAAAAAAATATCTAAATAAAGTCTCGTAAGTTTTCCTTGTTCTAGATTGAATTAGGATGATAAACAAAAAAAAAACATAGTTACGGTGCGCCATGGCCCGGCGAAGTTAATCCGCAACTTACGCAAAGTTGCGACGAAATACGATTAAAAGTCGCGCTGTCGTCGTTGCCCCGATAAATGTTACTTTAACATGCTTTGACGTTGTTTATCTCACCCAATGGGATCCTATTTACTATCTAGTCTCTAAATAGTTTCGCATACATTACTCGTCTTGAACTAAATGAGCTTATGATTTATTATTAACAACAAATGATCGTTGGTTTCCATGACTTTTAGCTTTTTACTTTAGCATTAGAGCTTAAAGTCATGGAAACCAAAACTTCATTAGAGTCTAATGAATTTTCAGCAGGTCAATTCTGTTAATGTTTACGTTATAGTCGCATCTCAATAGAATCTCAACTAGTTGCATTTTTAATCTAGCTCACAGACGTATAAGACGATTATATGTCTGTGATCTAGCTGAAGTCAATGAGGAAGTATTTAAAAAAAATAACAAATGCACCTCCACTAGATGGCCACTCTAGCAAAAGTTGATTTTTGCAGGAAACGAATGGACCAAAGACAGTCATTTCCGTTCCTTTTAACTAACATATTAAAAAACCTGAAATTTTCTAAGTTTGAAATTTAGATATCAATTCAAATACGAGAAAGTACAAATAGAATTTTGAAAATTTATTTACTTTTATACATGAAATAAAACCGGAAGGGTTTTCATGGAGAAGTCAAGAAAGTTCCATAGCGATATCTAGTTTGATTTCGGGAACTTTTTTTTAAAATACTAACATATTAAACATATTAAAAAACTTAAATTTCAAATTTCAGTTTCGAAACTTAGATATCAATACAAATACGAAAGAGTAAATAGAATATGAGTTGTTTATTGAGTTTTGAAAACTAATTTACTTTTAAACATAAAAGAAAACCGGAAGGGTTGTCATGGAAAAATCACGATAGTTTTTTTTTAATACTTCCTCATTCGACCTGCTAATTTTATAATTTTTTATCGGTTATATCGCTTTGAACTAATTCAAATTAACAACTTGCTGACAAATTAACTGTTAAGTAAGGCCTTTAAACAAAGATTGTTATTTTATTTTTTAAGTAAATAATTAAATAAAGAATATGAAGTCTGTGTCACGTGAGTTGACACACTGTTGTCATAAAGGTATACCCATTAACCCATTAACAGCGCCATCTAAAAATGAATCATATTTTTAGATGGCGCTGGTATTAGATTATTTCGTAATGAGGAAGTATTTAAAAAAAAAGTTCCCGAAATCAAACTAGATATCGCTATGGAACTTTCTTGAATTCTCCATGAAAAATCCTTCCAGTTTTATTTCATATATAAAAGTAAATAAATTTTCAAAATTCTATTTGTACTTTCTCGTATTTGAATTGATATCTAAATTTCAAACTTAGCAAATTTCAGGTTTTTTAATATGTTAGTTAAAAGGTACGGTTAAAAGGTACTATCTTTGATCAATTAGTTTCCTGCATAAATCAACTTTTGGTAGAGTCACCATCTAATGAGGTACTTTTTAATGCTTTTTTAAAATAGTTCCACATTCACGTTTGGATTTTTACAGAATCTCAGGACAGATATTCAATTATCTTAGATTGCCCAAATGAAAAAGATAATAAATCTTTGTTAAATTGCCTCAAAAATTCCAGCAATTAATCCTAACATACTTTACTTTTTGGTTTAATGAAAACCCTCGTTTAAATTTCGTAAGACTAGGCTGTATTAGCTTATAATCCCTTTGCTTTAAACAATTTTTTAACCCCTGTGATGTGACGTTTGCCAAGTTGTCAAAAAAATGTCAGCCAGCAAGGAAAATAACCTTGTTCAGGCTTATATCGAATTAAATAAATTTTGCCAAAGTGGTGATTATGAGAAAGCTTTAAAAGCTACAGGAAAAAGTAAGTAATTCTTAAGCAGATAATTTCAATCGGCCTTTTGTACAATATAGAAAATATAACACAGATAACACTAGGTCGATTTCTGACCCATATTTCTAGTATTTTACATTTTAATATACAGTTGCTTCCTAAAAATATTTTTACAGGATGCATAATTAATATAATATTATCAATTAGAATATTTTTTTATAATTTCATGTTATAATGAAGTCATTATTTTACTTATACCTACCCACCTTTAAATATAAAATATTGGCCTGTGTACCTTATTACACTCATTATGAACACATTTACAAACAATTCGAAACTTCTTTCAAGTCTTAAAATGTCGTATCTTTCAATTTTTAGTATTGCAAATAGCTCCAAATGAGCAGAAAGCCTTTCACTGCAAGGTGGTATGTTTTATCCAACTACACAACTTCAAAGAGGCATTGGCCATCTTATGCAATCCAAAAAATGCTGCACATGCCGCAGACTTGCATTTTGAAAAGGCATATGCACAATACCGGCTCAACTGCCCAAAAGATGCTTTGCAAACAGTGGATAATGCACCAGAGTTGACATCAGCACTGAAAGAACTAAGGTATGCAGAATTCTAATACAAACTTAAACATCCCGATCTATAAACCTTGTTTATATTAACAATACTATCTTTGCCCTTCTCAAATCTGTTTAACACATTTTCACTTCATCAGGGCTCAAATTTTATACCGACTCGAGCAATACCAAGACTGCTACAACTTGTATCGTGACCTAGTCAAGAATACAACAGATGAATATGAGGATGAAAGGAAAGCTAACATGGCCGCTGTGGTGGCAAACCTTGCTGCAGTCAATCCAGTATGCATTTAATTTATTGACATAAAGATATATTTTTTTTAAATTATCAATATCACTTCATATTTGGCAGCATGGCATTTTGTTTTTTGAAATAAAATAATCCCCTTCTTACATCCAAATATGCAGCAATAATGTATAATTTAATGAAGTTACATTCTTTCTAATTATAAATTCAAAAATATTAAATTTTGGGAATTTAATGTGATGTTTATAAAATACTAGCTTTTGCCCGCGTGGACCCTAGGGAAATGTTTAATGGGATAAAAAGTTTCCTATTATCTAAGTCAGCTAACACCGTATCTGTATACCAAATTTCATCAAAATCCGTTAAGTAGTTTCAGCGTGATTGATGTACAAACATCCAAACAAAGAAACTTTCACATTTATAATATTAATAGGATGTGCTGTGCTGCTGTCTGACGACAGAAATTCTAAAATATAAATAGAAAGTCAGAAAAATTTACTTTATTTAATTATTACTTTTTAGTCCACAGACCTACCTCAATTTGACGAGACAACCTATGAACTTGCTTACAATACTGGAAGCACACTAGCTATGCGTGGAAAGCACAATGAAGCATTGCCAGTGCTCAAACGTGCTGAACAAGCTTGCTCTGAAAGTGTGCTTGAAGATGGTGGTACAGAAGAAGAGGCCAAGGAAGAAGTTGCCATTATCAGGTTTATATTAATGCATTTTTCATATAAAATGTTTCATCAAATGGTTTCGTAAAATGAAATTTATCATGCAATAACCATAGAACATGTCTATAAATTTTTGTGTATTTTAGAGTCCAGCAAGCTTATTGTCTTCAGATGATGGGCAAGGAAAAAGAAGCAGCATCTATATACCAAAATGTTCTGAAAGACAAGCCAGCTGACCAGGCATTGGTTGCGATAGCTAGCAATAATTTGGTGGTGATAAACAGGTAACATTACCCAGCACGCCTACCGAAGCGGCAGATCTACGGAGACTGCCCTACTAAACCTTATAGACAAGGTTGAAAAGGCACTGGACGATAAAGAAATAGCACTCGTTGCTTTTCTTGATGTGGAAGGAGCGTTCGATAACACGCCCACCGAGACATTAGTAAGAGGATTAGTCCAGAAAGAGATTGACTCCACTACTGTAAGATGGATAAGAACCATGCTAGAGAGTAGGACAGTGAGGATGGAACTACTCAATGATTCACTAGAGTTAGCAACAACAAGAGGATGCCCACAAGGTGGAGTACTCTCTCCGCTACTGTGGACTCTTGCGGTGGATCAGCTTCTCCATAAGATGGCTGAACTCCGCTTTGACACCCTGGGCTATGCCGATGACCTGGTGGTGATAGTGAGAGGAAACTGCCAAAGTATGCTATCGCACCTTATGCAGAGGGCGCTGAACACAATTAACTCATGGTGTAAAAACAATAATCTGTCGATTAATGCAGGCAAAACCGTGGTCGTCCCATTCACAAGGAAACGAAAGCTGGACAAGCTTTCGCCTCCGACCATGAATGGGAGGCTCATTCCGTTCTCGACAGAGGTCAAGTATCTGGGGGTAACACTGGACCAGAAACTTACCTGGAACGCACACGTAGACGGAATTATACAGAAGTCTAAAACAGCTCTGATGATATGTTGTCGGCTAGCGGGAAATAGATGGGGCTTGAAACCCAATATAGCCCTCTGGCTCTACACAGCCATCATAAGGCCGATGGTGTCTTACGCCTCGGTGGTTTGGAGTAGAAAAACGACACAGAGTACTATCATATCAAGAACTCTTTGGGCAACAACAACAAAGTAGTTCTACGATGGGTTCCAGGGCACGCTGGACACGAGGGCAATGAACAGGCGGACAAACTGGCGAAAAAGGGTGCTAAAGACGCCCTTATCGGACCAGAACCTTTCTGTGGCATCCCTCAAAGCCTAACCCAGCTCACCTTGAAAACTTACTGCCACTACGCAGCTATTCAACTATGGAGAAACACTCCCGGTATGAAACACTCTAAGACCCTGATTAAAACCTTCAACAAAAAGGCGGCATCAGAGGCCTTAAACTTAACCAAATCTCACCTTCGCACACTAGTACGAGCACTCACAGGGCATTGTGGACTGAACAGACACATGCACAATATGGGGATCAGCGACAGTAGAATGTGCAGAGGATGCAAGGAGGAAGAAGAAACACCTTTGCACATTTTGACCGATTGCCCGTTACTAATGCGAAAACGATGTATCTATCTGGGAAAGCACGTGATGCACCCAGACGATATTAAAGAACTTACGGCCAAGAAAATACTACAGTTCCTTGTAGAATGTAATCTTGACCGTGAACTGTAGTATGTGGAGATCACAATAGATCAGCAATGGTCGCAGTGATACTGGGCTGCATAAACCCAAGATAATCCGCAACTCGAAACAATACAACAATACAGGTAACATTGATTGATTTATTTATGTATTTAACATTGCTGAAATCTTTAACAAATACAACACTAACAGAAAGTTTTACAAATATCCATTAAAAATTTTATTAGTTTAGAGTGACATTACCTTGACATTCATTAGACCTTAAAGGCGTCCTAAAACCTTAATGGATGTTTGTGATATTTTATTAATTTTAAATTCTATTATGCCAGGAAAGTTTTCCCTGCCAGTTATAGTTAGCGCAAAGGGCAGGGGCTCTAGTGAACCTGATTTTGCTAATGTTAACATACTAATCTGACACTTGAATGGTGTTTCAATTAAATCGCATTGTACTGCATTAACTACCTGATGCTAACTATTATCAGATTCTTTTGTTACTACAACTGCATTAAAAGCTACGAAGTGTATAAAATTTAGGAATTGCAATGATTTTATTGCAAGCCATCAATTAATTAATGATTGAGCTTCTTATGTGTGATTTAGTTTTATTGTATTTATACAGAGATGGCAATGTGTTTGATTCCCGTAAACGTATGAAAGCTGCCACTGCTGATGGATTAGAGCACAAACTGAATTCAAGACAGCGTAGCGCTATAACATACAATCAGGCCATTTTGGCTATATATTCTAATCAGGTATTTATCATTATATGAACAATAATGAAATGTTTAATTAATGTACATATAACAATTTTGCTTTGTTTTAAACCAACTGGTTTACACTATTAAAATAAATGTCATTGTAGTTGTCAAAATGTACCAAACAGGGTAATTTCCGTACACAAAAGAGACTGTAAAATTAGATAGTACATTATAAAAGAAATGAGAAAAGCTAACATAGAATGGCTTATTCATTTCCAAAACTCAATTTACTTTACTCCATATAATTTTTTATAATTTTTTTTATTTAATTAACTGTTTTAGACCATTATCTGGCCAAAAATAAGTCAAAATGAAAGAAAAGTTTGGCAGCCAATGGTTTTAACCAAATACTAACTTTAGTCTTTTTTTTTTTATAATAAGACTGAACCGTCTCAAAGTTATTTGTCCATTACAAAATTTCGCCTTGACATATTAATATTTCTTTTACAGCCGGATTTCTGCAAACAATGTTGTGTGAAACTGGTTCGCGAGTATCCCGGGCAAGAGAGTCGCGCGGCCCTAGTTGAAGCGTGTTCGCTAGCTAAAGAGGGCAAATCCTCTCAAGCGGTCGCTTTACTACTAAAGCATGGAGGAAATCTGACGTTTGCAGCTGTACAAGTGCTATTGTCCCAGGTATGATAATAACTCTTATCGTCTATACAAGAAGGTTTTTTTTTGTTGATTAATATTTTTTTATATTGTTTTGGAACTATAGTTTGATCAATATCATACAAAGTATTATGTGAGCATCAAAATTACGATTCGAATAGTAGACAACATACAACTATCGTTTTGGTAGACTGTTGTATGAGGTATGAGGTATTTTGTTGTATGAGGGTCACAACCTTTTGCCAACCCTAGGAATAGACTATAGATAAATTTTACTACAAATAATTAACTGTGTTGAGTTTTGATGTTTTTTGGTTCACCATTTAAGTTTTACAATTAATATTAAGTATTAAGGTACAAAATCAGTTGAGAGTTTCACATTTTTGTATAAGTTTAAATTATTTTTCTCATACAGGGTGATCGCAAAGGTGCCGTAAAACTTTTAGAGGAGAGTGAATTTAAATATAGACCTGGTGTCATAGGACTGTTGTGTACACTGCTCTCTGCTGATGGGGAACTGGAGAAGGCGTCTAAACTCTTCCACGATGTTTATGAACATTATAAAGACGATAAAGAGGTGAGTATTACTATTAATTATAATAGCCAGTCATTTCTATTAATACTGTAGCAAAACTGGTATCTGTGTTGGTGGTAGAGGTATTACAGATAGAGCAGGGACGCGAGGTCACCTGTTTCAGAAAAAGAGGGTACTATTTTTACCCATCTCTAAAAACGTCCAGCTATCAAATTGCACCTCCGTACGAATTAACATGACACCAGAGGAGCGACCGCATAACTCTAGCCCAATTCGTTTCAAAACAAAATTTCGTCTTCTTTGCAATGCAACTCCAAAAGACACGCATCTTCGATAGTTTATGATTGATTAGTTATTATACATTTGTTGAAATCATATTCCTGGAGATTATTTGTGCATCAGAGGCAGTGTCAGACCTACCTCCGTTAGTCCTTAATGTTCCTTTGCAGGACGTATGCCGTTGTTATGTTAATAAACGAAATTTTGTTTTCGTAGAAATAGAATAGGGCTTCCGGTGTCATGTTAATTCGTACAAGTTACGCCGTTAGTACACCGACGCAATCTCTGTAGTGACGAGAAAGCAACAAGTGTTGGAAGTACTTACTTACGTACAGTACTTTTAGAATAAGGAGATTATGATGAACTTATTATTAAAAGAAAAAAAAAATCATTAAATATTTACTTTGTTTTAAAATATTGGTTTTTACTTACACTTTTAATTCTAACATGCTAAGTACTAATATTACCACCTCTAGAAAACAGTAATTGGTTTTATTATAATATATGTGAAATAATAATAAATGAACTAAGACATTATACCAAGACTATTTAGAAATACATCCCAATGACCTCGTCGCGGCACTGAGGATAAAATCGCAGCACTGAAAAGAAAATATATATTATAGTCTGTCCGTCCTCTGTAGATTTAATAGTAATTTAGTGTAGATGATCCATTGGAGTTCCGCTCCCACAAAAAACATATATACACCGACGCAATCGCATGCGAACAGGGTTGTCACCTTTTGAGAAACAAAATTCGTCATATTCGTCACAGCCTTTTACGTTATCCGTCCTCGGATATAGCCTAATTCACCCAGCTAATAAAATAGAATGAGACAAAGCACATACGAAACATTGCCATGAGTGCAACCGTGACGACATCGCAAATGTAACGCATTCGCACGTCGCGGTCATCGCGTCGGTGTACAAACTGCGTTGGAGCTTTTATATTTACTTTTTAACACCTTTGCTCGTAAAGCTGATGTAATTCCACCGGTTTTAAATATGTAAAGCGGGTCATAAAAAACGCGTGTGTTACCAAAGCGAATAGTTAAGTTATAGTCCATACAAATTCCATAACAGTATTATTTGCCATTTCGCGCGCTGTTGCTATTCAAATTTCGAACTAATCGCCGCGCGGCGCCAGTCAGAAGGCCGCGCTTAGCGCGCTGTTAAAATGGCGGGAAAGCAACAGTGTACATTCACAGATTGAGTTTATTTAATGTTTTTTTTTCTGTTTCCTCGCAAATGTGTTAAAAAACGTCGTACGATATACGTGCGTATTGGTTATAACATGCTCGGCTCAATTCCGGCTCGCATGTTATAACCATCATAACGCACTAATATCGTAATGTACTATAACCACCCACGTGTACGTGCACGTGTACGGTCAGCGCGGTGACTCGCTGCGGGCGGTGTGGCGCGCGGCGGCGGCGGCGCACACGCGCGCGGGGCGGCTGGCGGCGGCGGCGGCGGCGCTGGAGGCGGTGGCGCGCGCGGCGCCCGCGGACACGCGCTCGCTGGCGCGCCTCGTCAAGGCGCTCGCCGGCGTCGACGCGGCGCGCGCCCGCCGTCTGGCCGCCGACCTGCCCGCGCTGCACGACAGAGACGTGAGCGTGTATACTAATACTGGCTTTTGCCCGCGACTTCGTCCGCGTGGTGCACTTTGAGCAGCATTACTCACGAATATTTATTTATTTAACACTTTATTGCACAAAAAAAGTAAAAATAAATATATACATTGCAAAGAACAAAAAAAAATTTTTTTTATTATATCATGTAAAATACGCATATTTCATCCCCTAAGGGGTGAAATTTATTAAAATCCTTTCTCAGGGGATGCCTACGTCATAGTAGCTTTATGCATGCAAAGTCTCAGCCCGATTGGTTTAAAATTGACAAAGTTTCATACAAACTTTTATACCCTATTTTATCCCCTTGGGGATAGAATAGATCAAAATCCTTTCTTAGGGGATGCCTACGTCATAACATCTACCTGCATGCCAAATTTCAGCCCGATCCGTCTAGAGATCTGGGCTGTGCGTTGATAGATCACTATGTCAGTCAGTCACCTTTGAATTATATATGTAGATATACTACTATATCTATACTATACTTTGTTTGTTTGTTTGAACGCTCTAATCTCAGGAACTACTGGTTCGAATTGAAAATTTTGTGTTGAATAGACCATTTATCGAGGAAAGCTTTAGTCTATATAACATCACGCTGCAACTATTAGGAGCGAAGAAATAATGGAAAACGCGGACGAAGTCGCTGGCGGCCACTATAATATATACAATACTATATATACTAATAACGTGTGCATATACAGATATATACTAACCTAAAAACATTTTTCATTGTTCACCCACTGCCACAAATTACGCTGGGAACACTTATAAGACGCTCCTGTAGATTTTACAATGACAATTTAAATGACGTTGACATTTTGTAGATATCACTAAATCAATAGAAACAAAAAGTGGGAGATATTATATTTATAAATGAATAATTAGAGTGAGTTTTGGAGATTATTGTGGAGAAGCTGTTTGTTTGATGTTTAGGTTAAGTTTATTCAATATCGTCACTATTGTTTATAGTTAGAAATTAATTAAAAATTGTTAGTATTTAGTAATGGAACTGTCAGGTCTATTAGTTAAATAAGGTTTGATTGTGCTTAAATTGTAAACGACTGTTTTCCAAAATAAATAAAAATAAAATAAATAAATAATATGTTTACACAGGTATTTAAAAAATATTCATTATACAGAGGGATTGTTAGATTGCTCGTTTGTTTGCATCGGATAGGCTCCGAAACTATGTATACTTTAAAAACGACAGCTGCAATAATGAAACTAGAAATCAGAAGAAATTGATTGATATAACTAGATTTTTTTAAATTTTGCTGACCCGGCAGACCTACTGTCTCAATTGAATATTGAATTCGAATCGGTATATTCTATGGTTTGGATATTTGCAGCAGGCTTTCTGTCAATTCTATGTCCAACGTCATAAGGTTACATTAAACATATTAATGTTATCCTAAGCGCTAAGGTTTAAATTAGAAATAATTTTTAAATTGAATTTAATTTTTTTAAATATTCTTAAATTTTTCTTTCTTTCATAAGAACCTTCTGACAATAACAAACACAACGTGTGATGACGTAAGCTACATCATACGGGGCTGACATAGCCTAATAATGTTATCGCTGAAAGGTCTTCAGTTCCAAGCCCGGATCTACGATTTTTTTATACGAGGCAAAAACGTCGTATGACGGCCCTTCCTCTACTTCTACTCGTTGCGTTTCATGTGGCCGGATTTATTATTACCAGTTACCATACTTTTGCCACCCCTGGGAGAAAAAGGGCGGGGAGCTATCAAGTTTTTCCGCGGGGTAAAAAAAAATAAAAAAAGGCATGCATCCAATTGATTTACCAAGCTGTATTAATTTTACATTTTATGTATCTATAAACAAATTAGGGATTATATATTTATCGATTTTTATTTTATTTCATGGGATGCTTCCAGAGACCACTGACTGCTGACTACTGACATAGCACAATGTTCCCATTAAACACAGATTGGGATGTACTTAAGGCGGCACCGAGAAAAAAACATAAATTTTCTTATCACACTTCTAACCGTTTTTTTTACCCAGTGAAAGCGCGTTATACACTTTCCCTGTCGCCTGATTGGACGGCAGGGTTTGTGTAAGACTCAATTTTACACAACTAACTACTTTAGGTATTGAATAGACAAATAAATAAACAACAAAATAATTATAAATACTATTTACGTACAATAAATCTGTCATTTTATAGATCAAGATCGATATAGATGCCCTAGAATCGTCAAAATGGATGATGGGAGCAAAGGTGGTCAAGAAAACTGTTAGCAAGCAGGAACAATCGCCAGGGTAATTAATTATATTAATTATAATTTTTACTTATTTAAAACTACCATACAAATGTTATAAAATATTATTTCTATTTTAATTATAGAACGCCCGCTTCGGAACTCCTCCAGAAGAAGAATAAAAGACGTAAACGAAAGACAAAGTTACCTCCCAGTGCTGATCTATCTAAACCACCAGATCCAGAGAGGTAAGAAAATAATAATCAGGATGGCAATTTTCAATAGGTATTCTTATCTTCAAGAAGACACACTTCCGTACAAAATATCAAACCATATTTCAATCATGCAGAAACTGAATAATGGGGATGTTTGTTTGTCCGTCAGATAGATTATTTAATAATATTCAGACGCGTGTTATTTTTTATTTGTTTTTTTGCGTAATCAATAAATTACGGTGAAACATTGAAATTTCGCATGACGTCACGCTTTTGTACATTTTCTACAAAACTATGACGTAGCCCCGTAGAACCCCCACTCCTTTCATCTATTATCTTAGCCACTTCTTGTTTATATTGCAGCAAAAAAAATACGTATCTAATATTTTTCTATTATCTGACTGACGGACTAAATAGAATGTCTTTTTTCCCCCCGTCGTCATCCCTATAATGCACCAGCACAATCAGTGGGTCTGTAAATAGGTTGTTAGGTGTTACCTATTTTTTTATCAGAGTTCGCTGAATGAAGGTTAGTCAACGGTTATGATATAAATGTGAATATGTTGATAATATGTTATTGTTAGTTTGTTTGGCTCTAAGTAGCAATATTACTTACTAGAAATTTCAGGTTTTCCCTATAAAATGAACGCCAATTACGAAAAGCTAGTTATTTTATTTTTTCATGAGTTTTTTGTTATTTGACAAATATTAAATAAATCAAACTCGATATTTATTTTACACTTTTAATTTAAAAGATCAAATGGTCAATTAAACCAATAGCAGCTTAAAATTCGTAGCTTTTTATATGCATGATATATCGGAAAAATATCAAATATATTGATATTTATTAATAAATATCGGATTTTTGCGAACCCTGTTTTTATACACCCAAGTTATAAGGGTGGTCCACTTCAACTTTATATGATCAGGCGTTTGTCGGATCACCTAGTGTCACTAAGGATTTTTTTATCATTACCAGCCTATTTACATCCACAGTGCAGTGGCTCAGGCCTTCCTTATGGATGGTTAAAGAGGATGGGACATAACCCTCCGCGCTAGTCAAATGCGGGTTGGTGGTTTTAAACGACTACAAATGCAACCGAAACCAACGGCTTAACGTACCTTCTGAAGGACGGAGTAGTTTGAGATAATAATTTTTGGTCACCCATCCTGTGGCCGACCCTTGTAAAGTTTCTTAGCAATAACGTTTACGGGTAACGGCCTTTATACTGTATGCCACCGAGCTACTCAGATCTTGATACGCATCGATATTATGTATTCATATAATCATTGTTTATTCCATATAGATGGTTACCTAAGTACGAGCGTGCAGCGTACAGGAAACGACGAGGCGTTCGTCGTGACGTCATCAAAGGTAGCCAGGGAATGTCAACCACCGCCACAGACCAATAGTGAGTTAACGACTTATTATAAAAATATACTTTATTGCACACGAAATAAGACACAAATTAAACAATAGTAGCAAAATATCACCAATCTATGATTACTTCTAGAATTTTTATAATTTTATATCCTATTAGAGATAGGTTTGATACACGTTCTGACAATTTAAACAATACTTTCTATTATGTATTAACAATTTCGATATGAAAATTAAAAATTACCCAACTTTAAAGAGTTCAAAGAATAAAATAGTGAGATGAAAATAGTACTAAAATCTTTGTAATAGTTAATAAATATTTAACATCACATTCATTCTTATAATTTTATTAATTTATATCCATGAAGAATATCTGTGCATCAGAGGCAGTCAGGTCATACCAGTTGCATTATAAATTATTGAAAACTCCGTTACTCTGGAATCGTATTAGCATTTGGAAAATCGAAATTTCGTTTTCGGATAAATAAAATAGGGCTTCAAGTATCGCGTTAATTGGTAGTACGTACTCTTATGACTGGTTAACCCATCATTAAATAGTGAGTAGATTTTTAAATTAATCTTAAGTGATTAAGGACATCTAAACACACAAATAAATAATAAGTAGCAAGTTAAAATTTAGTTAACTACTTATGAGTGTAAAGACGAAGTATTTAAAAAAGAAAGCACTAAAAAAGCACATCCGCTAGAGTTCGACTCTAGCAAAAGGGTATTTGCAGGAAACGAATGGACCAAAGATAGTCATATCCGTTCCTTTTAACTAACATATTAAAAAACTGAAATTTGCGAAGTTCGAAACTTAGATATCAATACAAATACGAAAAAATACAAATAGAATATGAGTTGTTTATTGAGTTTTGAAAACTAATTTACTTTTATACATGAAAGAAAACCGGAAGGGTTGTCATGGAAAAATCAAGAAAGTACCGTAGCGACATCTAGTTTGATTTCGGGAACTTATTTTTATTTTAATACTTTCTCATTCTTAATTTGCTTAATACTTAATCACTTAAAATTAAGTAAAAAATCTACTCACTACTTGTAACTTAATTACGTGTAAACCAGCCATTATAGATATGCGATCACCATAATTCTTATACATATATTTTGTTTACTTTAGTGATATGAGTAAGCAACAGCCTAGTGCTGCTGTAGCGGGCGCGGCTGCTAAGAGTCCGCGAGTGGAGGCCAAGCAACCAGACAGTGCCTGGCAAAGAAAACAGCAACAGAAGAAAAAAGGCAAAGGACGCAAATGGTAGAAAATAAATATTTTCCAATATTACCAGCCGTTTTATTTTATCAATAATATTAACATCACGTTACAAGTCACCGTATAATAATTTCGCATCCTTTTCTGGTCTATGAATTCGTAAAAAAAAATCAACCATTGTATTTTTCCATGCTGTCTCGTTTTCTCATTTAGCTATGCATCAAAACACGACGCTTCCGCCATCTAATGGTGGGATCAAAAGTAGCTCAGGGTTGCTCAATGAAATCCTAGGTGTACATCTTCAAACTTTCGATTTTATTAGTAAATAATACCTATACATCAAATCGCTTTTAAGTAAATTCTAAGACAATGACTATGCCGGTCTCGATCAGAAAAAAATTATTAACCAGCAAAACACGATCACGCGAATTCGAACGCGGAAAAAGTAATAATTTAAAATATTAGCGGTCAGCATTAATCATACATCGTCCGGAGTATATAGTATAGGCACGGACGTTACAGTACTTACGTATGAAATGATATCTTTTAAGTTTTCCCATTGTCAATGTGTCATCATCATTATCATCATCATCACCAGCCCTTTTTCGTCCCCACTGCAGGGGCTCAGGCCTTCCTTATGGATAGTTAAGGAGGCTGGGCCATCCACGCTGGCCCAATGCGGATTGGAGGGTATTAACGACTGCAAATGCAGCCGGGACCAACGGCTTAACGTGCCTTCCGAAGCACGGAGTAGCTGGAGATAATAATGTTTTGGTCACCCATCCCGTGACCGACCCTTGCGAAAGTTGCTTAACGACAACGATCGCGGGCCGCGGCGCTTATTCACTACGCCACCGAGCTACTTGTCAATATGTAACTTTGTTTTAATGCCATGGAAAACATACGCAGGAAGACGAAATGCCTACAACTTTGCACAGAAAATTATGAGTGAAAATGAAATGAGCCACAACGCTTGCTGAAACATGACTAAGTGAAAATCAGGCAATTACCTTGCTTTCTTGTTGTCAATGTTGTGCGCAGATATCCCATCTAAACTTTTTATTAGATCATTGGTTTTAATTCTATTATCTATGATTCTTACTAAAGACACGGTTGGCACCAACCTCAAAAAAAATTTTGGTATATCCACTTTTTCTGTTTCGGTTTTATTAAAGATGAAAATTAATAGTTTTATTTCTCTTTTCAGTCGTCTTCTAACTCTTTTAACTTAGTCTTTTAACTCTTTATTAGGATTTTTTGAAGTAGGTTGAATATTTTTTTATCGTTTCTTTGTTCTAATAATAGCACAATGGGTACGATCAAGTCGCTACTTTAAGAAAGTTGGGTCGTCACTGCAGTCATTTTGTTCTTTGAACTTAATAGAACGCAGGCCCATTATGCTATCACCCATGGTGCAGGGGGTGCAACGCACCGATGATCCCGGGCGTCTGTTGTGCTTAAGACGGACCTGATAGTACGTACTTTGAACTTCAGGAGGTTGAGACAACTCGGTAGCAAAATGCAAAATCCAAAGAAATTATGAATATTATATGCAATATCACTTCCTTTTGAAATAATGTATATGGTCATATTGTTCCTGCAGTTAGATGGTACAATTTTATATACTCACTAGCTTTCGCCAGCGGCTTCGCCCGCGTGGACCCTAAGGAAATGTTAAGTAGGATAAAAAGTATCCTATTATCTAAGTCAGCTAATACCCTATCTGTATACCAAATTTCATTAAAATCCGTTCAGTAGTTTCGGCGTGATTGACCGACAAACATCTCAACATCCAAACAAAGAAACTCACATTTATATTATTAATAGGATTCACTCACAAACTCCAAATCAGAATTAGGAATATCACTGAAATGGTTTGAGGCATTTTGATTCATAACAGCTGTTAAGATTTATTGTGAAGTTATAATTATGAATGCAATTTAAGAATTGGTGGACTTTATTGGAATAAGGCATTGGAATTAACATAAACAAATAAAACAAACAGCTCTATGATAACATTTACTTATTATTATTGCTTATTATAAGTATTTATCTTTTAGCATTTTTCCTTTTGGATTTCCCAGGCCTTTGATTCTTCTTTTTATTATTCGGTTTGAAATTCTTTGTCTTAAAATTGAAGGGTTTCTTTTTAGCAGAACTGTTGAATCCATCAAACTGATTTGTTGATTCTCTTGTATTCAACTTAGAGCCTTTCTTTTTTCCTCCAAAACCAAACTTTTTATCTTTATTGGCCCGTTTTCTAGAAATTTTTTTGTCTTGTGAGCCTTTAGCTTTAACATTCTTTTTATTGTCATCTAGAAAATCTAAGTCTGCTTCTTTACCTTTCCTAGCTCTTTTCAATTGTTCTAACATGTGTTTCTTTTCAGCTTGCTGTTTTAATTTAGCATCAATCTGTAAATAGATAAAATTAGTAAAACACATACAACTATGAATGTCAAAAGAGGCTGTATATTATTTTAAGTTTTTTATATCTTTTTTTGTTACGTCAGTGTCTGCCATCTAAGATTTTTCTTATAACTCGTAAAATTTCTGTTTTAACTGTAAATAATAATTTTTGGATTCTTATTAGTTTTATTGAAGTTTTAATCATTCAAGAAACTAGCGGCCTTTCCAACAATGAAGTTGTTTTATACTATGTAGTGAGACAAAGTCGCTTTCTTTGTTCCTATATCCCCATGTATGCTTCAATCTTTAAAACTACGCAAAAGATTTTAATGCAGTTTTTTTTTTGTATAATATTAACCTATTTTCATGTATAATAGACAACAAGAGCACCTTAGTGCAGAAAAATAGAGACCCATAGTTTTTTTTCTATATTGAGGAATTGTGTTAGGCACCTTCGAGGAAAGGTGTGTGTGGGACTCTCCTCTGTGAATCCACCAGGCTGTGAGTGCCCAGTGGATCCCCTCAAACCTATCCACTAAACATCCTACAGATGAGACCCGCAAGGCCATTGCCAAATTATCAGGATAATCACCCCCCCTTGGAGCCCCATATCTAACCTACTTAATATTAACCTATTAGTTGCATAACTTACTTGAACTTTTTTTGCAATTTTCTTCTGTTCTCGCAATTGTCTAACTTTTTCAGTTCTCGCTTGAGCCGCTTGTTTAGCCATTAGATTCTTACGCACTTTCTGCATATGTTCATCAGTTTTAGCCATTTCAGCAAAATAATCATCTGGCCTATACAAAAAAATAAACAACTGTGTACATTACTCATTCATATTAAATAATATTGAAATAATATTGAAATAATACAATATAGTCATGTGAATGGTGTTTGATTAATCTTGATAAATTTATAGTTTCACATAAAACACTATTTATGAGGTCTTGATTTTCTTCATACTTGACAAACATGTTACAGCACGATATCCACTGTGACCTTTGTGCCCATTGATAGATATCATAAATACTCGTATTTCAGGTCCACTTTACATTGACAAAATTGACCATCTGTGCAAGTATAATTGCAATATGTTTGTGAACAACTGAGAGTTACAGTATGCCCTGTTGTTGTACCAAATAAATTCTGTTTCTGTTGAAATTTTATTTAAAATCCAAGGAACTAGTATTTAAGTGAATATAAAGCTTTAATAAGACATATAAGACATAATTAAATAAATATCAAAATTTACCTACCTTCTAGTAGGAATGCCTAGTTCTTTCAATTTCTTGATACCTTCCATAACAGCAGCTTGTGCTTGGCGGTGGATAAGGTTCTCACGTTTGAACTCATTAAGCACTGGGTCCTCTGCTGGGTTATATTCTTTATTACCCCTGTTATTTTCTTTGACATTTCTGTAAAATAAACCATAGAATAGGATGATATAGACAGATTATAATAACAAAGTTAAAGATTATAAAACTTTAAAATAGTCCACATATATGGATAAAAATTAAACACTATATATTCATCTTAAATTTGACCACAATAAAGTATAATATCACATTACTTTCTTCTTTGAGCAGTCTCTTGCATCTGCAACGCGACATCAGGTGCCATTGGAGCAACGGCAGTCACCAAATCCAATGTTTCAACCCATGGTAATTTTAATTTAATTTCTTTTAATTTCGTTTTTAAATCCGCAACATTGTTAATGTAATGTTTTTCGACTCTTTCCACTTCTTCGTTCAACCCTGGTTTTAGTAAGCCCTTTGCAAAAGCCTCTTGCAACTGAAAGTAATCGAATATGTTAACAATGCTCGCAGTGGCAATAACTTATTATACAATTTGATGAAAAACATGTCACCTCTTCATCAGAATCCACCTCCGTATCACTATCGTTTAAAATAAAGTCTGTCATAATATGATACTAATATTTCAATAAAATATTTAAATGCTACTGTGTTTATTTATGGTGTAAAAAACCTAACCTCCTTAAACAAATGTGACAACAACGTGACTGTTCACAGAGTATTATTGTTCAGTGCTGTTCACAGAGTGTTATTATTCTGTGCTGTTCACAGAACAATATACTCTACTTAAGGTTCAAATCAAACGATACATTTGATACCGAGTTTATACTTTCAAAAGCGATACCTGATACTACAATAAGGTTAATACTCGCAAGTACTCACAGACTAAAATAAAGATATTACGAATCAAGTACTCATCAAAATGAGGAAGTATTTAAAAAAAACGAAAGCACTAAAAAAGCACCTTCCCTAGACGGCGACTCTAGCAAAGTTGATTTGTGCAGGAAACGAATAGACCAAAGACAGTAACTTCCGTTCCTTTTAACTAACATACTATAAAAATGAAATTGGAAAAGTTGGAAACTAAGATATAAATACAAATACCAAAAAGTACAAATAAAATACGAATATTTTATTGAGTTTTAAACTAATTAAATTTTTTTTTAAACATGAAAGAATACCGGTAAGGTTGTCATAGAGAAATCAAGAACGTAACGTAGCGACATCTAGTATGATTTCAGGAACTAATGAATTTTTTTAAATGCTTTCTTATTGTTGGAATCAAGCATGAAATTTTATTCCTTTAGCTTCATGGAATCGAGTATTCGTCCCAAAGAGCATATACTATAAATTTTTTCATTTGGCGTTTCAACTTTTACTCTTTGATTTTTATTTATATACTTTGATTTGACTTCTATAAAAATAATCTAGGACTGAATTCTATAAATCTATGAAACTATGCTATGGAAGTATTAGTATGTGGTTTTTTTTATTTCCTGACAGGACTATTCGCTAACTCAACTGACGACCCAAAATTGCAATAATCGAAATAAGTGAACTAGATTTTTTACAGGTTTCTCATCATCGCCATCTTTCATTCATTTCATTTTCATTTTACATGTAGAAATTTATTTATTCACTTGACATTGGCAGAATTGTGCGAAATGCGCAGATAAGAAGAAGAAGGAGAGAACTAATCCAATGTGTCAAAATCATTTATTCGTATTTTCTACAAATGGTTCGCAACCATGAAATGACAATATCGTCCATCTCCACTCAACTTTTTGACACTGGACCAGAAAAGGAACTTTGACCATGAAGGCACTTCTCGCAACGCATATATCCAAAAGTCTTGAGGCAACGTATCTACTTTTTTGACAATATTTTGTTAAGATTAATAAGTATAAACTCACAATAGTTTATGCTCGAATTTGTAAATAGGCTGCTTCTGTATTTAAATAACAGCATGCGTAAAATATAACTGTAATTTAAATAATGAGGAAGTACCTATTTAAAAAATAAAAATTAGTTCTTGAAATCATACTAGATGTCACTCGCGATGTTTGGATTTTGTTTATAATATTCATTCAAATTTTGTTTCTGACGTAATAAAAGTAAATTGAGTATCGAAAATTAATAAATATGACATAATTTTGTGTTTCTTATAATATCTAACTTTTAAATCAATTTTGATTTATTTTAATTGTAAGTTTAAGTTGTTTATTTTGTTACTTTGTTTTATTTTAAGTTTAAGTTGTTTATATTGTTACTTTGTTTATTTTGTTTTATTTTGTTGCTTTTTTAATTTCAACTATACAACTCAACAATACTATATTTGAGGGAACGTAACGACCTAGCGCACACGACACCACCGCAGAAATTTTTAAGAGAGCATGACTACTCTAGGTACTTAATAAATAATATATGTCAATAAAACTGATTTCTAGAGTAGATTGTGTAGGAAGTCTATCTATTATTAACAATATTATTGTAAGAACCAAAAATCACATACCCACCGTATGAATAAACTAAATAAATATCTCAACGTCCGTCGTCAACATGCAAGATCAGTAGCAATAGTATAATAACTGTACGTGTCTTTGTAACTTTGAAATTTAAAGTTATAAGTTATAACCTTGCTGTTCGTTTAGAACAGATTCAGATGAAATAATTGATCATAGATTTTAAAGTCTTAATTTCGAAAGCACAAGTTATTTGCACGTTACACTTTGCAGAATTGTAATTTTAGCCAGAAGTCATGTTATTTTGTATGAATACCTAGTATATTTTTTTACAAATCGGGTAAGTATATAGATAATAAACGGATTTTTTATTATAATTGTCTTTTTTATGACTTTGGTTGCTGATAAATAATCCCTATTCATTCATTCACCATAAATAATATAAAAATATTATTGAGACTTGATGTAGATTTGTTCTTGTAAGTTCAACTAATAGCAATAAAACTAACTTACCTATTTGTTACTGTTTTCAGAGCTTTTGTTAAATATTATAATGAAAAATTCCTAGACCTACTATGGCATAAATATTTTATTTATAAAAACTTCTTGGCGGTAATATTATTGCGTACCGTAGCTAAATGCCAATTACATCACATTATATCACAGCATTATTTCAATCGATTTCCATAAAATAAAATAAAACTCTGTGCTCACTTCCATTATGTTAGTTTCCATTTCCCTCTATAAAGAAAAAAAAATATTCGAAGATTACTTTGTATTAATCGAGTTACGTTTCTATATCTCGAACTAATTAAATTTCAACTCGATATTTACCCGAGTTATCAGGTCCATAACAACACTGACAATTCTATTCTCTTTGGTGTGATCAAGTGACATATTTTTGTAGTTTCTTTATTTTTTTTAAATAAATCCTCATTCTGTATTTAAGGGCAGCTTGCGCAACATTTGGTTTAAACAAAATTTAGTTAAATGTGTTTGACTTACTAAATATGTTTAGCCTTAATACAATGAGGAAGTGTTAAAAAAAACCGAAAGCATTAAAAAAGCACCTCCACTAGATGGCGACTCTAGCAAAAGTTGATTTTTGCAGGAAACGAATGGACCAAAGCCAGTCATTTCCGTTCCTTTTAACTAACATATTAAATAATTGAAATTGGAAAAGTTGGAACCGGAAGGGTTGTCATAGAGAAATCAAGAATGTACCGTAGCGACATCTAGTTTGATTTCAGGAACTAATGTTTTTCTTTTAAATCGCATTAAACGTCGATGCGCAAGCCGCCCTTAATAACGGTTATATTTTACGCATTATTTACTGCAGTGCTGTTAAATCTTATTACCTTTTAAAGTAGGTTTTACTAATTTAATTTGATCAATCAACCAAGAATGACTATATTTACAACCTTCTTGGATTGAAGCGTCTATATTATACTATGGTAGCACTATGTTCATCGTCACGTCATAGAGCTTTAATGAAATAAAACCTACCTCAAAATTCGCGAGGAGGAAGGTGAAAATCAAACACAATCTTCGATTTTAAAGCGCGTCGTAGCTTTGACCGGTAAGATGAACTGAGTATTATTGATACATTTAATATTTTTTTATAACATAAACTTATATCAAAGATATTTTTTAAAGGAAACTAAATGATTGTTTTAAATATATAATAAATACGTAAATATCGTCATCAGCCTACTACTGGAGTCCACTACTGGACATAGGCCTTCCCAGAGCATTATCATTGGGAGGGGGGGGTTCATTTACTCCAATTTCCTTGGTGTGGTGTACATCAAATTTTAATTTCCCTATTTGCCATGAGATCCTGGTAGGCCTATAGAGGTTTTATCTCATTCAAGCTGTATGATGTTAAAGCTCTGTTTTCGACGACAACTTCAAGGCTGTTTTTTTGACAAAAATATCATTAGCTAGACTTACGTAACAAAAGACAAAAGTAAAGTTATTTTTCATTAACAGACTTCAAAATCGAAAAAATGGAAGTAACTATTTTTTAGTATTGATAAATTGTTATTTCCTATTCCGTAAGCTTTATTGAACATGGAAGTTTATTTCAGTAAGTAATTTCATCTAAACTAAAACATATTTAAAGCAACTTGTTAAGGATTAGTAATTTATTAAAAATGAGTTACAGAATACTAAACCGCACGATGACCACAGAGCTCTGCGAACAATGCATTTCGTTGTCCGCAGAAGAGTCAGAAGTTGCCAGAGTTATAGAATAAGGAGGCTGGATACAGTGCCCTTAAATAGTATTCAAGAAAATATATTTTTAAGAAATACATACGTAACACTAGCAAGACATAAACAATTGAGTAAGGATCCTACAATAAGAATACATGAAAAAATTTAACAAATTTCTAACCACTTACAAATTTTAAATATTTTAGACTGTGTTTTATTCTGTAGCAAAATCTAAGGCTTGCCTTACTTGCCCACTCATGTATAGTATAAGTGTAGCAAGGTCTTAGTCAAAGAGAAAAATAATACCAGAAAATAAAAATCATAACTTATGTTTTTTATTCCTACTTATTATATTTGTCGTAGGGTAGTGCGAATGGGCTATTACGAAGCCCAAATAGATCGTCCATATCGGAGGACTATCCTTAAAATAACACTGCAGGCGTGTATACCAACGTGGATTTGTATAAAATGGAACAAATCCACACACTTTTCATACGAAATTATAACGAGCTGAGCGTGATGTCGTCGGATGTCTTTACTCCTCGGCGATTGGAAACAGAATGTCTGCCAAAATGGCGGCAAATTGCTTTTTGTTAACGAACTGTCAAAGTCAGTGTCACCATTCTAATAAAATTAAAAGTATCGATGATCACGCTCTCTCTACAATCGAGTAATTAAGTAATCGAGTAACTTGCAATTAAAATAAAAGAAACTAAATCAAACGATCTTCGTAAAATTGATGCGACATATTTTTCATTTTATTTAATAAAATAATGTAACTCTAATTAATTGAATAATAAATCATGTTTTATTTGATATATTTGCTGTACCTTCAAAATATGGCAAATTTGCCCACTAAACACGGCAGTAAAGAATGTGTCTCTGGCAACACTGTTTATTTTTCTCTAAAGAGAAATATAAGTTAAAAAAAGCATAAAGTTGATTCTTTTACCTCCACCTAAGCAAACTAAAACTTTAAACTTAACTATGTGTACATTTACGATTGTATGTGTGTGTGTGAAAAAGTCTACGTGGAAGTATTAAGAGCAATATGA